AGACCTACATTATCTTCATATATTTGACCCCAAAACATTTTTAAAAGTTTGGCAACAAGGTACAAAGTTTGTCTTCCAATGCATCCACTGTAGAGGAAAATCTTCTCACCCTTAAGAAGCAGTAAATATTGTCTAAATAAAGTCACTTTGAGATATGTTTGGTACACTGAGGCAACTTCCAGCTACAACTGGAAAATGCAATTACTATTTAGAGTATTTTTCAGGTGCTCTAACATTTGTATGCCTAGATTCTACCATCCTGAAAGCAATGAGGCTCAGCGAGCTGAGCTTTGAAGGCACCAAATATGTTTTGCAGAAACTTCAAAAATTATCAGTTTATGTTTCAAGTAACTGCATGTTGCACACAATTTTAAAACTAATGAGTAGCACATTCGCAACACATGAAAATACAAAAAGCAGTCTTTCAGTAAGGAAGCCTCTCATTATACTTCTAATTGCTTATCCGCTGAACTTCCCACCTATATTTCCTGAAGCGTGTATCTTTCTTTCACTAGGGTTGCCCTAAATTGAGTCCATGCCTTGGTCTTCCTCCTATATGGAAGTCAAAAGTTGTCATAAATATTCTTTCTCAAATTTGATGACAAATTGCTTTAAAAAAAATCAAAATTATGTGAAATTCAGCAAGTTCAATGAAGTTTCTTTCTGAAATATTAATATAAACCTTGAACTCAGAAGAATGAAAATCATATGACTGAAAAGCTTTCATAATAATGCAATTTCAACTGCTTTCTCAAGATGAGCCTATGATGACATGAAAAAAGAAGAGGCATTGACATTCTCCAAACCTGTACTCAACCTCTTGAATAAATGTTTCATCTAAATGTTGATATTCATTTGTCTGATCTCTAAACGTTAAGAGTTTAACTATTTAAAACCAAGAATTCCAACTAATGCACCTTGCCAGAGCATATAAAGTGCAATGCAAGTCAAAGCACATTAAAGATAAGCATGTGTTTAATGGCAATATTCACTTCTATTACTTCAATCCTGTCAATAAGAAGGATAGGAAATTAGGATTAATCAAGGATCTGGGCAGAGTGTTCCACAGTGTTCAAAGTACTTAATGTAATGAAGTTTAGTTAAACCGCTTTCTATTAACTTTCCAGGCACAGATAATTTCTTGCATTTTAAAAACAGAAATGTTGATATGTAACATCATAATTATTTTCAGCTGCCTGTACTAATAACAGATCCACCTGGAGTATGGAACCTCAGAGTGTGAACAAAGTACAATTCACTTTAAGAAAGGTGAAGGATGTCCTTCCAGGAAGACACAAAAAATTTTACTGCAAATATTTTAATCACAGCTGTTGAATAATAAGAAAATCTCTGACAAACACAACCTTCCTTGTCTGTAAAAATAGTAAGCACACAAGAAAGTGGGAGATCTTATCCCAGAATTTTAACTGACAAAAAAGGCAGGGGATTCAAAGCAATCACAGATGTACCACACCTTGACTTATCCAATAAAGTTTTCACCAAAGCCAACTTTCATTTAGTAAAAAAGGGGGAGAAGGCAGTGAGGCTTTGTGAAGTGCTTTCTCAGCATCAAACAAGGTACTGACTGCTAGAGTATTTGACACTCATTAATGGATGAAAGGGAAAATTACATGTCAGTAATTCCTGCTGTCACAGTCCTCAATACCTAACCCTGTGCCAGAGACTTTCAAGGACAAACATGATGTTCCTTCCACTAGTAAATAAGGAGGAGAAAGATCAATCAATAAATTCATGGATCTGAAAGTCTGTGTTGAACTCCTTCTTTTACACAACCCTATACAAAGGAGTTCAAGATAACACCTAAAACAAGCAGAGAGAAAGAAGGAATATATAGTTGCTGTTGGACTTCTGAAAGGAGTAAACTGGATGAGAAATGACAGGGCTATGAAGAGCAAATTAGCAGTACGTACTTTTTAATTTCAATTTTCTCCTTTCTGTGATCTTAAAAAAAAAAGCAGAAACAATTTTCACAAAGGGAGGATTTCCTTTATTGTACCAGTCAGAGGATCTCACACCTCAAGAAATTATATTCAGCTGCTGCTGCTCTTCATGGCATGAAGAGATAACCAAAACGTTATATGGTATGCTCTAATACAGAAACCTCATCTCTGAATTTCAAAGTCATGAAACAGCGACTGTCAAGGCACTTGCATACATATGGTTAATTGGAGTACACATCATTAAGCAATATTCTCTGATCTTTGGGGAAAACTGCTTGCAGCACAAAACACTTAATTTGGGGTGCAGGCAAGGTAAAAGCCTGAAACGGGAAGACTATTGTAAATGTCTAATGAGTAGCCAGTCGCGATATATCTCTTAGAAAATCAAAGGTAGCTTCACCTTCGAGAAGTAAAAAATAACATGCAGGGCCTTAAGTTCTAGCTGAGGGAACTAAGTGAGACTTTCGCTTTGACCTGAATTAACTTCAATTTTAATTTTAAAAGGACGTTAAAAAACCAAGGGTGAGATCATTAAAGCTCACCTTCCTGTTTTGAAACTAGAAAAACTTTGTCCATTCTTCAGGAGAGTTCTGATGAACCTTACATTAACTGCAACAGATAACAGAAGCCTCTGTCAGAATGACTCTTCTCATTCTGTTCTTGAAGCTGTTTATCCAAATTTCAACATAGCATAAGAATGAATAGAGTTTCTTAAAAATTGGACTTCCTTTCTCATTAAGTTTACACATCCCAGTGAACTATGTAAATGCCTTGTGCACAACAAGAAACTAAACTTTCTGGAAGACTCAATAAGGTGTAATAGTTCATGTTTCGTGGCATTTTCAGTAATCCTGATATCTAATCATCTATCCTCTGGTAAAAGAAGAGTTAATAAAACAACTGAGGGAAAACTGATGAGATAAAAAAAAAAATTAGAAGAGGAAGAAATGTTTAAGCAAGCTAAGGAATGTAGAGAAGAAAACGATACCAAATCTATGAATTCCACATAAAATGCACGCTGCAAAAAATACACAGCTTCACTAAGGGGTAGCATCTCTAGACAAGTAGCAGCAAAATATTAGGAGCTTATGTCATTTCAACAGTAAAAGCTAGTAAATCTCCTACAATTTAGACAGGAAGCTGCAGATATTTGTTTCAGATGTACCCATACTGTCCAGGTTTCTAAACAAAAGCCCTTTTCCAGGAATCTACTTGCAGTCTTTAGTGAAAATATGATAAATATTCTTTAATAAACTGAAATCAAACTCAATTTGACATTTTAGTTCATGGACTTCTTAAAGATTTAAGTTCCAAGAGTAAAATTTCGAAACTGCAAGACAAAGAAATGAACTAACTTTTCCCATTCTTTAGAAAGAAGGAGAATTTCGGCATAGCACAATCCATTTTCTTGAAGCAAAGAGCTCTATGATCATATATCACAGTATCTTTTATTTTTATTTCACAATAACTGCTGACAAAACACCAACGAGAATGTTGCAGTATATTCCTCTTTAACCAACATTATAGAAAATAAGATTTGTAGTTCTTGATTTTACTATTGATCCATGAAGCTTGTATCCTTCATTTTTGAAAAAAAATCTAAGTTGTTTGGAACAACTTTTCATTTTATAAAGGCTCATTTTTTGTTTGTCCAACTTAATAAATGTCTCTATGATCTAAACAGGAAATGCTCTTTTATATCAATTACAACGATATCCAGCAAGCCAAATTCCAGTTACTTTTGTTTCCTCTTCTTACAATCTGTATAAGGCTGAAGAGTCAAAATATTGATTTCTACAGTAGTCTACAAAAGAATGCAGCATGCTTAAATGTTTAACTCAACAAGTGTTTCATCTTATAACCATTTTTTCTAAGAATTTCTAATTATTATTAACCGAATGTTTATGAAAAGTTTATTTCTACCTTCTTTTTAATATAGGGGAAAAAAAACTGACAGAACAGTATTTTTCCAGACACAGACATACTACTTCAGCTAATTCTAATTTATGCAGCATGTGTCTGATTTCCAAGCTTAACACTCATACCTTGTTCAATCCATTTGTTTTGCCTGTATTCTGCTAAGACATGAGGAGTTCACATGATGGGCATGTCATTTGCATAACACTGAATATTATATTCATTCCACAGAAATCTCAAGCAAGCATTCTATATTCCAAATGACTTCTAAAACAAAGTTATTCCACATTTGTTGAACTGATTATGTGAAGAACAAATGATAGATGATTTGAAGATAAAATTCAGTGTATAAACATTGTCATCTACAGCATTTCACTATGCTAATATCATAAAAGACTGCCAGATTCTATTGCATTCATAATTAGAATGATTACATTGTAATTCAGGATGTGTTTTTCATAAAGATTAAGAGAATGAGTTTTAATACAACCAAAGCCACGTATACCAAGTAAGTTTACCTATACAAGACAGATGTCAGTTCAGATGAAGATTTGTTTTTCTACTTCAATTATAAATTTTGCTTCTGCAATTATAAATCTAAACTTACACCTACAACAAAATATTAAAATGCTACAAAGAATTTGAACTGCACAAGAAGCATACGTAAACAAGATTACCCATACAACAATAAGGGTAAACTTGGAAAGAAAAGAACAGAATACTCTAAGAAAATATTTTCAAGTTCACAGTATGTTTTAATCAAACATCTCTTTTACATTTTTGATCTGGATTAAATTCAATGTTCTGTCTATTTTCATAGACGGTCCATGTTAAATCATAACAGCTGTAATCCAAAATGTTTTTCAGCAAAGAGACAGCAGTTATTTTAATACTGGGTTATGATAGACATGACCTTACTTCTTTTGTAATAAATTGCAGATTACACTTTTGGAATGCTTTCAAATTATTTCACACCTTGTGAGTTTGCTTTATTAAACATCTGATACTTTCATGCATCATTTCTTATTTTTCAGCAGTCCCCGTCTATATCAGAAGCAGGAGTATACCAGGAAAAAAACCTTGCTGCGGAGTTTCAGTATAAATGAAATAAAACAAACTTACCATGTTCCATCCTGGGTAGAGGTAGTCTGTCCCAATAAATTCAAAATAGTGAGCAAAACCCTCTTTCAACCACACATCCTCCCACCAAACTGGAGTCACGAGGTCACCAAACCACTGCAAAGGAAGTTTAAATAAAAAAAAAAAAACAATTTTTAGAAAATCATGCTTGCATATATCACGTTTTTGAGAGCAGATTCTTCACAAGTTTCAATAAAAGCAGTAGCTTATAGCATTCAGAGGACAAGCAGATTTTTTTCATATACTATTGAATTAAGCCTTTTTACAGGATGCACATAAATTACTTCACTAAAATATTAGAAAAGAACTAGTATGCACAGCATTGCTTTACTTATCTAAAGAAGATGCTCACCTCTGTTTAAAGAAGTAACCAATACAACAAGAGAAAAATGTGAAACCAGCTTATTTGAGCTAGGAACACATGGAAACTTCACTATGTATAGTGTGAATATTTAAGAACAGGAAACATAAGCTCTCTCTCTATTCTAGGCTCTCTCTCTATTCTAGGCCTATATTTCAGCATTTCTTCCTCTGTAAGGTCTGCCTGTTAAGATTTACAACAATACTGACATTCATTGGCCCCTTTCCTAAGGAAAGCTGTTTCATGCAACCCCCCCTGTGAGTAAGCCTCAGCACTCCCAAAACAGGGAGTTGATCTGGGTTGTAGCCACAAACCTATCATGGCAGAGGACATGTAGACGCCACAAGGATTTTAGCCAAAGATAGGATTATCGCCAGAAAAGGAATGGGGACAAACAAATACAAGAAATCTGGCTTCATCAATTCTACTGCTCACGAATCACGCCGTATAAATGATTGTAATGACTCTGGGCAACCTGGGAATATCTTAACATAAGTGACAAGAGCAGAAACACACGCATTATTACAGAAAGTTATTTCACAGTCTCTGTAAAATCCTTTGCCAAAAAACAAACTTTGGCTCCTGGAAACAAACCTATTTTTAATGTGCTCAGAAGAGAGTCATTAATAATCAACAGGGATAATTTTGAGTTTTCGTATAGTTTTAAACTGATAGTAAACAGAAAGGGAGCAAATAAGTATTCCAGAGGGAGGCAACACACACAGACAGGTGCTGCTGCCGACACAAGTGAGAGAAGAAAATGAAGGAACATGGGGTTGGCCAAGTAAGCAGTTTCTTTTTAGGATGATTGGCATATCTGAAGGCTTTGTCCAGCATCTCAATGAAAGATCTTGCTTCTGTGCACGTCTTTGTTGAGGGAGAATAGCGCACGGGGAGGATCAATGCCATGACTACGATCCTTCATGAAATGAACACAGGAGCTCCAAAGAACAGATGACAGAAACAGAGATTAACAGATTGCCCCACAGTGTTCAGTAAATAGGATTTGAAAGAAAAATGAAGCAAAATGCGAAATTGAACATTAGCGTCAATGAACTGAAGAATTTCAGGGTAAAAGATGGGGTTGACAAAAGTCTTATTCACATGCTAAGTGAAACAAACTTACTGGATAGTTGAACATAACATAGCTAAGAGTTATTAAATTAACTCTCTACAGGATCAACAGAGATAAAGATCGATCTTAAGAATATTTATCTGAAAAGGTAAAGAATTACTGAAAATCTTTTTGTGTATATAATGCACAATTTTAAAAATTAGAGTAATATGTTACCAAAGTAGTACAAAAATTATACTTATTCTAGAATACGTTGACTAAATGATTTCTAACGCTAAAAAGGTTAAACACAGCATCGCAGTGCTTATGTCTTGAAATACAAGACTGCTGAACAGATTAGAAACCAGTAACAGTCAGGGTATACTACAACTACTCAGAAAGAAGTTTAAACAGTAAAACGTCTCAAATTTGTAATATATATTCTTGCAACTCAAAAGAATTTGTAAAATTATTTGTTAAAGTAGAACAGTGAAATACTTTAAAGTTAGATTTAAAAAAAAAAAAAGACTTAAGAAGAAGCCTAGCTTTATCATCTTAGCTGAAAAGTGGAAAATATGAATTTTGCTGCATTCCCAATATTTTTTGTCAGAATCAATATTTCATTTATTCCTCTAGGAGATTAATGTGCTTATTTAGTAATGACAAAATTAAAAGTTTTCATTGTCATTTAATCATCCAGGAAGAAAACTATTTAACAGGAATTAAAACAGCATATAATATCAGTATGAAACCATCACGAATTTGCCTAACTAGTCTTGAATATCATAGAGAATATTACTGTTAGAGAAAGCAGTCCCAGAGAATGCAATTAATGAAGACCAATATTCAAGAAGAATTGTACGATTATCTTTATAGGTGTTACATGTCTGAAAGGGAAACATTAAGTAAAGCATTTCATTTAAGTAATTGCTCATGTATTTATTTATTTGTGTGTTTGAAGAGGGATGCTATTTGCCCTGAGTGACAATGTTATTTTTTTTTTTCATTTTCAGAAAGAAAAACGAATTGAAATACATTGCTTACATAAATTGCTTGTTTCCCTCAGTTATTTGTGTTCATCCTGACGCAAAAGGCACTTACCTTCATTACAGACACACTGAAAAGGTACTCCTTCCCATGCACTTTTCTTACAGATTATTAAAAAAAAAAAAAAAAAAACAGTGGCTTAGGGTTTTTTAATTTTCCTTCTGCATTCATGCATGTTTAACTCAAGTTTTGTGCTCAGGGGGGAGAACTAACAAAAAATTATGGTGATTAAATTCAAACAACTTTTTCTTCAAAGGCTGTAAGTGGGGTTGATCTGTGATATGCAAATAAAATGGATTGCTAATTTAACAGAATTATTTTAATACATTATGGTAATTATTTTGAGCTATTAACTTAAGATGCTATAAATATGTGTGTATTGACTAATATATCATTTGTGTTCTGGGGCTCGGAGGGAAAGCTTTAATGCAGAAATACTCCACATTCTGCCATTTATTAATTTTTTTTAAAATACTTGAAGTGTTCTAAAACATTCAAGCTGTAATATCAAGCACTAGAAGCCTAAAAATGATGAAACTAAAGCTAGCTGCATTAAATACGTCCTTCCTAAAACTTGTATCTAAAATAAGAATCTAGTCAAGCATTACAAAGTCACCTGTGAAGAAATCAGGCATAAAATTCTCTCTTGAATTCTTTGCACGTGTACTTTGAGGACCACAGAATTTCTCTGTAATTCTGCAATGATGCCTCTGTGTTCTAAAAACTGCAGTTCACGACCAAATGCATATAAAATGCTCAATTGGTTTAGGAATTCCAATCTTGAACAGTCACACCTAGTTTACAATCCCAATTCTTAATTTTATCAATTTATTTGAATCGCAGGTATATCATTTGCTGTGTTACTGTAAGGGACAAAGGCATCATATGGCACAGTTCCATACTGTACTAAAATATGCTGTGTATGTATTCAAGTAGACTTTAAAATCAAGGAGCACTATATGATGAAACAGGACAACGACACAGTTCTTCTTTAATAACAAAAAGAAAAACAAACAAACAAACAAACAGATTTTAAGGCAGTTCCCTTTCATCTTATTGGAAATCTTCAAAATTACATTAAATATAAAGTAAAGCTGTAGATATAGAATCTACTTGTGGCAATGTCAGTAGCGATTTTCATTAGTCCTTGTTTTTCAATGTATAAAAATCAGTGAAGAGATATTCTTGAACCACTACAGTTTAGAAGACTAGGCTATGAACAAGAGAATGAAAAATACATTGAATAATTAACAATTAAATAGCAGAGGCAAGAGATCTTGGACCCAATCTGATCGCAGTTCAACACAGAGAAAAGACACTATCATTTATGCTCCTGACCAACATGAGCCAGAGTTATAGTTTCCTTAAGGAAACTGCAGTAGAAAACTCTGGTTACAGAATAAACAATACTGTCTTGGCAATATCAGTGTTTTGTATTATGTATTTTTGGAGGGCTTCTGTCTTTAAATTTTATTTGCAGTTCAATGATCTGTATTCTATGTGACTCAATTCTGCACTTAAAAAGTAGAGTATTAACTATTGTATCAGTACACCCACTAAGCCGAGCAAGGCCTTGATATGTATAACACTAAAACAGAAACTGCAGCAACAAGAATGAAGATACTTCTGATTAAGTGAACATTCCTGGAGTAAAATGAGAACAGACACCAAATAAGTTTCTCATTCGCACTTTTAAGGCTACTTAAGAGCACACAGCTACCATAAAATAAATTCACATATAGTCTTCTCCAACTTTGATATTGTCTGAAGTTCCCAAAATAATAAATTGACAGAGAGGTTCAATGAGAATCAGTTCCAATGAGAATCAAACAAATAAACTTTGCAAGCTATTGATGTTATAATTGCTCACATATTACATATAAACTGCTTTGGAAGGAGAGGAAATTATTTCAGCAGCGAAAAAAATAACTGGAAGCAATGAAATGACTTCAGAAAAAGGAAGACCTGAGCAGAATGCAAAGAAAAAGTTATCAATTGTTGGATTTAAAGAGTTACAGAAAAGGTTCTGAAGGAGACTGCAAAAAACCCTGTACTCAGGAACATTGAACCCCACACTAGAAAAAAACCACTATGTGGCAGAACATAATACTAACCAGAGTTGGGATTTGGTGATCTAATATGTGTTTTCCACATCTTAATCCTCAGGCACCATGATTTTTCTAGCTGAACAGTGTGCTACTCTACTGTACTGCACAATAAAGAGCATATAACAAAATAAGATGATCACACTGAGAACAAAACAGCAATAACTTTCAATTAAAATGTCATGTTTTAGCTGAGGATTTAATATTCATCTACAGATTTAATGTGAAACATGAATACGAACCAAGCATTATTATTTCCAGGTTCATCTACCGTAAGTCTATTATGAAGGCTCCCTTTTATATGGTACTTATATTTGCAGAAAGTGTTAAGAATATGCATTGCATTTTAAAGAATACTGTGTAAAGTCACAGATGTAAGCCATGCTGATTACACAGTTGGATTTTAACCTGAGGGCTATGATTATGCCTGTTATGAGTATAAGAAAGGGTTTCCTGGCCCTCAAGCACATTTCTTCAATAACATTTGCATTCCACTCAATATTACTGAACAGTCATAATGTGTTTAGTTGGAGATAAGATGGAAGAAATATGAAACAAATTGTAATATGGATTTATTACAAAGTTTTTTTATTGATAAAAATGTTTTTGTACATATAAAGACTCGATTGTCCATCATGAGTGAACAGAGGGTTAATACCAAACTTAAAAAAGGAAAAGAGAAGTGCATGTGTATGTGAGAGGAGATGAGTAAGACTATCAAGTTGATTTCAGCCAAAGCATTTTTTGACATGAACATGCAACTCAGTATGAATCTGCTATGGTTCTGCAATAAATTCTTTTCTACCATTATCAATGCGTATAATCTTCTGAACAACACACAAAACACATATGTTAAAATCATACAGAAGATAAGTAAGTTCTTTGTTACTGATTTTCTTCTTTACCCCCATAATGACTCTTGTTTTTGCATTCTAGTTATGTGTCTTATAGATCCTCCTCTTATTTGGACCACACTCACAATAAAAGCTGTAACTTTGTGCAAATTCATTTTCAGTTTTGAAAAGGAATGCATGGTTTCTGATATAAGTACTATGTATCTGAAGACTTTGAATACCTGATGACATAGCTCATGTACAATGACCATGGTGACATCCAGCAGGTATGATATAGAAGAAATGCTTGGATCCAGTAGTATCCTTTGCTCCACAAAAACACTCAGTCCCCAGTTCTCCATAGCAGCATAGGGATGTTTAGGCACAGCTAGCAGATCTGAAAACAAAGAAAAAAATGAACTTAACTTCCTTTGAAAGATATTTTACTGAAGAGCTATTGTAGATAAAGCCATAAACAATCATTAAAAACATTTTAAATAACATAAACATAAAAACAGGACTGTTAATTTCAGCTCTCCAGCATTTCTACTTAGGAAACATTAATAAAATATCAATTTTTGTTCTTATATCACTACCTGTTAATGATAGTTATGGTATTTATGTAACAGTATTTAGTATTTTTAATTGAAGAAATTACCTATGTAGAGTATAGATTATTTTAAAATATCTTGATGTGGATTTACTGATGAGTTTGATGCTACTTCTCATGTTTACTACACCACAATGAAAGCAGTAGCATAGATTTTAACAAAAGTATTGTGTATCTTTTCATTAAAGTGAACTTCTTTCAAGTCAAACTATATGTAAGGATATACATTAGGGGAAGAATGAAGAAATCTTGTTTCATAACAATTAGAAAGAATCATAGAATCATCACAGAATCATAGAATCACAAGTTTGGAAACAACCTGCAAGATCATCTAGTCCGACCATCTTCTCATTACCACTGCTACCACAAGCACTAACCCATATCTTGAAGCTCCTCATCCAGACGCCTCTTGAACCCTGCCATGGACGGCGACTCCACCTCCTCCCTGGGCAGCCATTCCAGTGCCTGACCACTCTCTAAGAGAAATAGTTTTTTCTCATGTCTAACCTAAACATCCTCTGGTACAATTTGCGGCCATTTCTCCGGGTCCTGTTTGTTGCCTGGGATAAGAGGCCAAACCCCTCCTCACCTCAACCTCCCTTCGGGAAGTTATAGAGTGCAATGAGGTCTCCCCTGAGCCTCCTCTTCTCCAGAATGAACAATCCGAGCTCCCTCAGCTGCTACTCATAAGCACTGTGCTCCAGACCCCTCACCCCCCTTCTCTGGACACGCTCCAGGGCCTCAACATCTTTCTTGTAGTGAGGGGCCCAAAACTGAACTCAAGATGCAGCCTCACCAGTGCTGAGTACAGAGGGATGATCACCTCTCTCCTCCTGCAGGCCATATATTTCTAATGCAGGCCAGACGCCATTGGTCCTCTTGGCCACCTGGGCACACTGCTGGCTCATGTTCAGCCGAGCATCAACCAACACCCTCAGGTCCCTCTCTTCTTCACAGTCATCCAGCCACTCATCCCCAAGCTTATAATGCTGCATGGGGTCGTTGTGCCCAAAATGCAGGACCCGACACTTGGCCTTGTTGAACCTCAGCCCATTCACCTCAGCCCAGCGATCCAGCTTGTCTAAATCCCTCTGAAGGGCCTCCCTACCCTCAGACAGATCGACACCACCTCCCAGCTTGGTGACATTTGCAAACTTAATGAGGGTACACTCAATCCCCTCATCTAGGTCATCAATAAAGATATTAAACAAGATGGGTCCCAGTACCGACCCCTGGGGGACACCACTTGTCACGGGTTGCCAGATGGACTTAACTCCATTCACCACTACCTGCTGGGCACAGCCCTCTAGCCAGTTCCTATCCAAAAAAGGGTAGACCTGTCCAGTCCACAGGCAGACAGTTTCTCCAGAAGAAGCCTGTGAGGAACCATGTCAAAGGCTTTGCTGAAGTCTAGGTAGTCTACATCAACAGCCCTTCCCTCATCTACCAGTTTGGTCACCCAGTCGTAGAAGGAGAAGTTAACAAGCTGTTCAGAAGTTCACAAACTCTTCAGAATCTCCTTGCCAAAACAAGGCATCTTTCAGTACATAGTATTGCTAGGAGCCGCTCTGACGATGGACCTATTGACAGCCCTGTTTCAGTTCCACAGGCTGGAACAATGGTGCCAGATGCAATCAAAGATGAATTACTTCAGCTTAGTACCCAGTAAGAGATAAAACAGTATGAAGAAGATGGGAATTCCATCTTATTTAAAAAAAAATATTAAAATGAGTGACAGGAAATTTCTCTCAGTGGCAAGAGGTTCAAGAAGACACTATTACAATGGCTATCCAGATGCTAGTAAGATCTTACAGAAAGTGGCTGAGAAGAAATTCAAATTGACCAGTCTGGAAATAGAATTAGAGTAAACTGACATAAGGAATAAACAAATATGCAGTGCTGCTCCACTGCAAAAATATCTGAAAGAGTCTAGAAACAGCTTCTAAGTCTACAAGAAGGCCAGTGCAAATCAGCCAGGCTTTTGGAAGCTATACTGTCACGTCAGCATGGTGCTCTTTTCTAGTTGAATTAATTAGCCTGGCTTCTTAATTAATTAGCCTGGCTAATGTACTCCTCTCATTTGGCTATATTACTTCTGGTTTCAAAGCCAGTTCATTCCTAATCAACACACATAGATTTAGGCAGTGGGATGAATGATCTCTGGATTGACTCCTCTTAAAGAAGTGAAATTATTACTTGCTTACAGACAGCAATTCTATTACAGCACACACATCTCCTACATTTTCCTATTTTGGTTTCCTTATCTACATGGTAGAATTGGCTTGAAGAACAACCTGACAGCAGGAGCTCTACTTCAGGATTCATAGAAAGAAGCCACAGAAATATCAGGAGTAGATAAAGAACTCAGATATATTTCAGTATTCCCCAAAAGGGGATTAAAAAAAAAATTTTTTTTGCAAGTAGTAAATAAAACACAGACCTCAAGTGGAAGCGCAGAGAGAGCATAGCAGCTACTTCCAAATACAAAAAAAAAACAAACCTTGAAAATAGCCAAATTGCAGAGGAACTACAAAGGATAAATAACAAATATTCATATAAAGGCAAACATTAGAACAAGAACTTAATTAAGGAGAGCAAAGCAAAAATCCAAAGCATGGTGTTCAAGAGGAGACTGCCAGTTAATGCAGATTTACATGCTTTAATTTTCTTCTTCAGTTGAAACTTGAAACATACTACTTTTATAGAATAACTGCAATTTGTTATTACGAACATGAAAAAACTCCCGTCTGCTATACAAAGGAAAGATAAGCATTAAAAGATGACACAAAGGCTACAGGGTGAAATCACTGAACTTAATGGCAAATATTCATTAAATTTAAACAGGGACCTTTCCTATTCTTAGCTGTGTAAAGAAAGCTGTAACTTTTCCTGCAGTGATTAAACTTTCATTTAAAAAGTATCTTCAGAAGAACATAGAAAGAATGATTCTAATTTACTCCCAGTTTTCAACAACTCCTTTCAAATCAGCAAAGTGATATCAAAATAAAACTATCACAAAAGAAAAACTATTTCATACTTGCACTGATTGTTTTGCTTCCTTTCTCTCTTTTGCATTCATTTGAATTTTCTGGTCTTTCTTGTCAGTCATAGCAGACACATTTTGTTAGTGTCAGCAAATAACAAAGTGAAATAACTCTGTGGCACTGGGAAACTGAGGTCTCATGTTGTTCAGGAAAGGAGTTCACCCCCACCTAAATACAAAGGTATTTATTTAGCTTATTACTGACTGTTTCAGTATTTGTTCCATTGGCAATGGTCTGGTGGCTTAGATGGACGGATGGTAGCACTGACATACCAGTAAAACCCTCCAGTCTGACTGATGGCCAGCTGCCTTCCAGGCAGACAACAGCAGAGAAATACTCTAAATCACTTTCTTACTGTGCAATGCCATTGCTCTGCAAGCCTTGATATTCCTTTCACTCATCAACTAATGCACTGTAATGCCAAGAAGACAACTTCCTTAATCTCCAGCAACTGACAAACTGGACTCTGAATGTAATTGTTACGACAACAGGACAAATTCTTTTTCTTCTCATTGTCCATGTCTAAAATCAGAATTCCCAGTCTTGCTGTTAATTCAGAAACAAAATTCTTCAGAAGTCAATCTTGATTGATCCCCAGATTTCTACCACCTTTAAACAAAATCCCCAATTCGGGTCCAAGACAATCATCTGCTCTATTATCCAAGGAGCAAAAATATTTCATTTCAGAGAAACAATGTTTGATGTTCAAGTCTCATCTGAGGAATTTGCATTTTCCTCTGCCTACTACACCACAAAAGAACTGAGGAAGGTCTCTAATGGTCCTCAAGGTGACACCGACTAAGGCTTAAAGATAATTTTTGAGGAGCAAGGTACAAAAGGAGGGGTAATTATGAACATTTTGATACAAACATTATTCACCCATTGTATTGCTCAAAAGCATTCTATACTAACTGCAAAAATATGAACTACTGAATATATAACAGCTTGTGCACATGCTGTATTCAGTTACTCTGCACAGTATTTAATTAAATTCTTTCTAAAGCACTCGTGACTGTTTGATTATGTAGATATTGCAGGGGAAATAGAAGTACTTGTTATTGCTTGCAGAGAATAATATCCCCATGCATCATAAAAGTGTTACTTGAGATTTCCTGATACAGCAGGCAGAGGTCTTCCCCATGCATCATAAAAGTGTTACTTGAGATCTCCTGATACAGCAGGCAGAGGTCTGTGCACCACTGGAATAGAACTCCACTTCTTGGCCTTCACAGAGACTAAATTCATGACTGAATAAAATCACCACAGCTAAAATAAAATCATCACAAAAGCCATTCAAACTAAAAGGCGTTGGAACATCACATTAATGTATGACAGTGGTACAATTACTCAGATTCAAATTACTCAAATACATACAGATATTTCTGAAATATGGCCCTATGCAAACCTCATTTTTCAGCAGTTCAGGTTACAAGAACTGTAAATAGCTCAGCAGCTCCTTTTACTTCCAAACATTCAATTAAGGCATCATAACTATGTGAGCTTAAATCAAAATATAATTGTCCAACATTATTAGCAAGTATCATCATCATACAAAATAGAAATTAGCAATTCATCACCCAACTTGGTCACAAAGAGAATCCACTTTCAACATGACTACCTATTAATTTAGCATTGGTGTAATTCGAAGATGTGACACTGTTTTTTCTCTTTTTCTACTCATTTATAGTAGTGAATTCCCCAATTGTGAACATCATTCTAACTTTAAATGAGAGCAGAATTAGA